GTTTTCTGGCAGGACTTGGGACCCCACAGGGGACCCACGCTGGAGCAGTCTGTGCCTGAAGGACTGCAGCCCTGGGGAGGGACCCACGCTGGAGCAGTTTGTGAAGAACTGCAGCCCATGGGAACGACCCATGCTGGAGAAGTTTGTGGAGGACTGTCTCCTGTGGGAGGGAACCCACGCTGGAGCAGGGGAAGAGTGAGGAGTCCTGCCCCAAGGAGGAAGGAGCGGCAGCAACAACGCGTAATAAACTGACCACAACCCCCATCCCCTGTGCCACTGGTGGGGAGGAGGTGGAGATAATTGGGAGTGGAGTTGAGCTGGGAAGGAGGGAGGAGTGGGGGGAAGGTGTTTTTAACATTTAGTTTTATTTCTCATCATCCTACTCTGATTTACTCTTATTTATTACTCTGGTAATAAATTAATTTTCCCCAAGTCGAGTCTGTTTTGCCTGTGATGTTAATTGGCAAGTGATCTCTCCCTGTTATGGGAGTGAGATCTCTCACTATTATGGACCTCACAGCAACTTGATTTGGGCTGTGTGCTTCCATTGTGTGATTGTGAAGAGCGGTTTCACTTGTCTCAAGGCAAAGTGACATGCCCCAAGAGAAAGACTGGAGACCCGTGTTTGAAACGCTGTGCCCATCATCGTGCCTGCTGCTCCCTCCATAATCTCTGTGAGGCAAGCCAGGATGTTTTTGTCAGAAACAGATGGAGGAGGACAGGGTGATTCTGGCTGCCTTCCTGCAGCCTGACATTGTTGTCAGAGATAGACCTGGCTACTGTGAAAGAATGCTGTCTGCCTTGACAGCAAGAGGCTCCTTGCACTTAAATTAAAACATCTGGACTTGCAAACCTGCATTTGCAAGTCCTTCAGTCAGTCCACCTATTGAATAAGCACAAGCCCATCTGCTATTTGGTGCTTTGTCAGGAGCTTCCCTTCTCATAATCTCAGAGACTGCTATTGGGCACCTAATGCAAAATATCTCAGATTGGGTTGGCAGTGCAGGGTGTTAATAGGGCATGAGAGCAAAAGTTTACCTTGCAAAGAAGAAGGGCGCTTTTGATAAAGGCCCTTATGTTGCACCCTCCTCAGCTAATGCATTATTCCGTTGCAACCATGTGGTGGGTTGACCCTGAGAAAGTAAGAACACATAGGACTCTGCAGCTGTGATGCCTTTATCAGCTACAATGCAGGTGGGTACCCATACATGTCTAAGGAAAAAGAACATGCTGGATTGGCCTAGCATGCAGAATCCTGAATTTATGTAGTACAGGAGTGTAGAATGCTCACAGTCTGCTGCTAAGATATTCCATTATGTAGACTACATGGTCCAGAATGGGATAGCATCCGCTTTCTATTATACAGCTAATATACCTCCTTAGATGAGCACAGACCTCACATATGGCTACAAGAACATGTCAGCACCTGAAAGTGATGCTGTATTGAGTAAAGCTCCAATGATTCAAAGATTTCTTGCAAAGACCAAAAGAAAAGGACAAAAGATATACCTGAGAGGAACTCACACTTCTATGATGACTGAAGTTCTACCAATGGATCTTGCTGTGAAAAGTGGCAGGAGTCAGGAGAGCCTGACTTCTGGAAGCAAATGACTTATTTGGCCTCTGAAGATGGTATAGCAGCTCACAACTCTAAAAATCTAAAGCAACCCTTCACATCTCAGTTCTTGTTGCCAGAGGTCAATGCAATTCTCCCAGTACACCTTTGTCTTCCATCACAAAACCGCTGCTCTTCTGAATATAGGCTTTGTAGGTCCTCTAACATGATTGAGGCAAACCCTTGCCCATGGGCAGTAGCCCAAATGGAATGCTACATCAGTCCATGGGGACAGGGAGAAGTACGTACCAGAGAACTGCTGGATCCTACTGTGAAGACTGGGGATGACCATAAGCCTGGCGTGCCGCTCCTGGCCACAGTTCTCATCTGTGGTACCATGCAGGAGACAACATCCTTGTGTAGAGCGTTCAGTTTAGATGCTGAGGCAGTCAAGGTTCTGACTGACAGTACAAGGCAGGAGGGCAGAGAAAATGGAGTGCATAACACAGATAAACTACCAGTAACAAGTGCACTGGAAGAACTTGTCAAGGAGAAACAGAAAGCCAGACAGAACAGTTGATAGGAAAAAAACCTCAGGCAAACTGAACAGTAACACAGATGTAATTAGCGCAAATAAGAAAAGCATTAATATTAGCCATGCGACCCTCGGCTCCAAGCTCAGCCATCGTGAGTTCAAGTTTGAGAACTACTATGGCAGAAAAAGAGATGGCTTCTACCAGCAAAAGAAATTAATATAACTTAATTCTCTTAAACATTACATTCACCAAAAGAAATGAAATTACTTCAGGTTCTTCTATATGCTTTTCTCTCCCCTGCAGAATTTAATTATCATGTGTTTCTTAGCAAGTTGTTAAATAAATCTGTCAAATCATCGTTCTATCCTATATCAAATCATTGTTCTATCCTATGAGTACACAGTAGCAAACACAGTTTGCAAGAATGAAACAAATGTTTCAGGTAGCTTTTAAGTCTGATCTCAAGATTAGACCTCCTAACTTTGTGCTTACTTTCAAATGTTCTTCCAATTAAAGACAGGTTCCAGCTGAAGATGTCAGTGAAACCTGTACAGCCAGCTGTAGAACAGAATTCAAATAGGGATGCAATACAAAGAAGTCAGATTTAAAATTTTTTTTTTAAAAGTTGTTCTTTCTTCTGCTTGTTTGTTTCATTCCTCATCAACTCCAACATCTCTTCCTTCCTTTACCTAACATTCTTCTAGCAAAGCTGCTTTAAGGATTTAAACAATCCTTCAGAGCTACAGAACACGAGGCTCAGACATTATGCTATTAAGTCTGCTACTGTATTTTACCTCTTATCTTTTGTAATCTATTCTGATTAAGATAGAAAAATGGGAACTCATTGGAAGTTTATGAGAGTTGTACCATTCTTTCCCATTCTCAGTCTATCCCTAAGTATCTCTTTATTAAGTATGTGATAAAAAAATCAGAAAGCATAGTAGAATGAGGGGGCATCACCATGCAGACCTCGAAACCCGAGATATGTACTGTACCTTCCACAAGTTCATAGTATTATAAAGCTCTTCTAAATCTTTACAGAGATTATCTACAATGCATCACATTCTGGGATTTCAGCTCTGACAAGATGAACTAAGAAGTTACTGCATAAGGGTATCAACAAATTTGTTTCATATAACCAGTTAGCTAAATGCTGTTCACTAAATTCAGATATTAAAATGCTGCCTGAAAAGTCTTGCTGGAACATTTTAACGATTTGGAGAAGAGTTATTTCATATACAAGGTAGAAGCTTCATTGCTATAGTTAATTCAAGGTATACTGCAAGTTGCTGAGCATTCAGGTATAAAAGACCAGGAGACCACCAAGAGACACAGAATGCATTCTTCGCATAAATAACACACACCAATTCCTATAATAATCAGGATTAATCTTCAATTTACGGCTGAAAAATCCCTGAGGAACAGAGCAGACCAAAAAAAATCCACCAAACCCTTACTACCCTTACTCTTCCAATCGTTAGAAGCCATTTTGAAAAAGTTAAGTCCTGCTTAAAAAAATGGGCTGGAGGGTGCTACATTATACTCATTCTTTTGCCAGTGCTGTTCCTTTGATTTCACAGATCTCTTCTCTCCTCTCTCCCACCAAACAATCCCAAGACTTCTAAAGGACCATCATATTCCCTTTTATAGTCCTTCATTTAGCTAAAAATTAAAAAGTCTTCTCAGATTTAATAGATGCTCCTGTCCTCTGATCCCTGTGTAGCACTTCCATGAACCTGAAATACACTTAAAATTTTATTGTATATAATCGACATTTTATATAAGAAAAAATTTATACATATTCAAAGCTTTATGTAGTGTCCCAAGTCAAATGTCACCATTATATTGCACAGTGACATTAAAACTTAGTGTCTCTCCTGATAAATCCTAAAGCCCTGATGAATCCTAAAGAACTGCTTGCCTTTATCACATTTGTGTAACTTGATTGATAAATAATTTCACCATAGTCTCAGCCTTGTCAATCACTTCTACCTAGAGCAGCGCCACATTAAGGACAAAAAAAAAATATAATTTTGTTCCCTAAATTCAGTTTTGCATTCTGTAATCATGTATTATCTCCACTACTCTAACTCAGAGTTACAGAATACCATACCATTTCCTGCTATGCATTATTCAAATCCTTCTTAGCACTAACAAGTCTCAGCTTTGTTTTGACCAGAAAAAAGTGATCAGCATTGTTATTATGCTGTGGTTTATACTTGCATAAACAAATAATAATTTTAAGAAACATTTAAAATCTTAAATATAAGCATGTCACTTACCCGAGCACAAACAAAGGAAATTTTTGCAAGTCTTCGGACATATGTCTGAGAAGAGCTGAAACATAATTCGACCAACTAGAAGGTAAAAAAACAAAACAAAACAGTTTTCTAACTCTTTATAATGATATAAGAAAATCTGCATATAAATAAATCAGCAAGTTTTGGAAATATAATTTTCTGAGAGAAGGTTATTTTATCAAGCAGAATATGAAAACATCTCAAATATGCATACATTAAAAAAAGCAGCAGGAAAAAACAATACCATAATCATAAAAAAATGAAGTAATATCATTACATCTAATTTATTAAAAATCCCCATGATTCCATTTTGATTTGAACCTGGAAAGCCAAATTGATTTACTAAAATAGTTTATCCTGTCAATTCATTTCTATTTTGAAAAAGAAAAAGATTTGCCATAAACACAGGTGCTCAGAAAGCTGGAGTAATTCCACCCCACCCCCCTACTCCCCCAAGTACTATGTTTATACACATACATTAATAATTACATTTCCACAGTTTTCCCTGTGATCATTACCTAAAAAGCCCAACTGAATTAGTCCCATACTGTGTTAAGGATTATAGATGCATTGGGACTCTTGGCCTAAAATCCTTTAGTTCAAAAAAAATAAAATAAAATAAATAGATGAACCAAATAGGAAAGATGAAAGGTGAGCAGAACACAGAACAATACTAGCAATTTCAGGACTAATGCTCCACTTGCTAGATACTATGAACTAAATTATACTTTCCCTCTATGCAAAGCGAGCAGAGCAATTCTCACCCTCAGTACAGCTACCCCCATGCTATTGGTGGCAGTTATGCTATGCACCCTGGAAAACTATTAAAATACTGCTGAAGAATGGTTTAATGTAAAAAAAAAAAAACTATTTTAGAACTGATTGACACTTTCTATTTTATTTTCCAAGATACTGGGACATATATTACTAAAGAAAAAAAAAAAAACACACCAAGCTCTCAAATACATGAAAAATACATAAATACAATTACAATAAACACAATATTAAAAACCACATAATTAGCAAAGAAAAATATATCTCTATAGGTTATGAAAAAAGCAGTAAAAGCCACACCGTTGGCCAGCATTACAAGACCAGTAACAATCTGTCAATAAGCACTACCCTCTAGTGGTGCATACTGGTTACTGGTTTTAAGTTACCAAAGATAACTTAAAAAAAGTAACTACTCCAGGAATTACTTTGCTTTTCCTTCCCTTAAAGAAAAAAAATAACTTAAGTTCAAATGTTTTTTATTTAAAACTTTGTCACCAAGAAAAATTCTGAGAGGCTCCTAATAAATCGCGTTCAATTCTAGGGCTTTGTCCAAATGTATACAATTGCCAGCAAGGCGAATTGTTGGTTCAAAAAGGGAAGAAAAAAAAAACCCCAACCACAGAGACTGCCTGTATTTTGTACTCTTAAGATAAAAATTCAAGATGCCTTCAGCTGTTGAAATGTCTCCATTTCATTAACTGCAGTAAGAATGTTCTCTGAGCATTCATCATTACAGCACAAAAAAAATCTGAAGAAAACGGGTGGGGACAGTCTAAAAAGAATGAAGAAATAGCCAATATTCAAAGACCCCACATTAAACAGTGGTAGCTGTAACTACCACTATGAAGAGACAGCTATTTGGAAGTGAAGAAACCATTATAAGCCATGCAGATTGAAGATTCATTCAGAGAACACAATAGAGAAGACACTTTAGTAAAAGAATTACCAATTTTCATTATAAGCACAGGATTCAGGAGAACAGAAATGCCATTCCTCTGCTTGCAAAAAGCGCTGAACTGAACAGTGACTAAGTGCTTTAGAAAGGCAAATACAGATTTCCTCTTGCATTCATGATGTGAAATAACACAATGCCTTTCAAAGAAGAAGTTATCATTATCCCCATTCTACTAAGAGTGGAGAAATAAAGACAAGCTGCTGATTTACCAAGGTGACAGCTGCCAAATAACTAATAGGCATTGCTGCCTATGGGCTCCAGAAGGGACTTTTGCCCTCAGGCATAAACTGTAGAAGCCCTATGGTTGCAAGTCCCTGTCCCACATAAAAAACACACCATATTTAGCACCTTAAGCATCAGACACAACCACACCTGTCTTCTGGCGGAAGAAAGTCATCTCAAGTTCTTGAAGATGTCAAGGCAGAACGTGGAAAAATACATTCATAACTAAGGCATCATGATTTCAACAGTATCTTTCACTCATGCTTTGTCAATAATAAGGTCTGCTAGCTTCCTGTGCCTTTCAACTCCTACAAACTGTTTGTAATGCACATATCCAGCATCAAAAGACTATAAATCCAGTTTAAAAGATCAGGACATCTCTCCTCCATATAACCTAAAGCAGTGCTTACCCTGTTATATCCAGCTACATAATATGTTGCCATGTGCTTATAATACACAAACCACATACTGTGTATCCATCTGGTGGCTTACTATCTGTATTTTACCTAAACTGCATGAATACCATTATCGCTGTAAGGTTATATTTTCCACTGACAAACAGTCAATTAAATGTGCCAGAGAAAGATCAAACACATTTTCACACCTTGATCAGATAAATACATATGAAATAACAGCTGTTAATAAAAAAATTAAATAGAAATCTGTATGAAAAGTATACTTAAACCATACAAATCTTTCTCTTACCTCTTTCCTCAAAAAAAAAAAAGTCATTTTAAACTTGGAGCTGAGGTATATGCTACATAACACAGATTAAAAAAAAGCATCTGAGATGCTACTAATTTCCTCAGATTCAGACACCTCTTCTCCAAAATGATCCACCTTCACTGTACAGAGAAAATTTCCAATACTTTCTTCAGCTTCATTTCTCTGACACAAAGGTTAAGTTACCTGCTTAGGGAACAAGCTTTCTGTGACTAACCATAAGACTTTAATAGTAAATTAAAACAAACAAAAAATTGCTAAGAAGAGTTATTCAAGTAGATGAAGTCTGCTCACAAACCTATCTGGACTCCTCAGTCGGCTTTAGCCAAGAAAAGAGCCTGCAGAGACACCTCACTTCTAGACTAAGGCAAAAGATGCTGGGATTATATTTTTAACAATGAAACTCTCACCTAACTTGAGATGCAAATCTTCCAGTACCACAAGGAAGTTATACAAACAATTAAAATCTTTATTTTAATACATGAGCAGGCAGGACATCACTATAATTTTAATTTAGTGTTGTTCTCAATAGAAGACTGATTCTCACCAGCTCATAGCTATGAAGACATGTTCGTCTGTACCACAGCGTAGATTTCACAGTACATTACTGTACCTTTTGTGCTAGCCAACACCACAGAAATGTATCCAATCATAACTTAACATTTGCCTGTTATTTGTAAAACAATACTTTGATAAAGTATTCTTATTTGTTAGCAGGCTTTTAACTTATTATTTAAAGATATTTTTGATAGAAATTAGAGTAAGCGTTGAAAGAAGTATTTACATTACTGGTAATTACATACAGTAAGCGATGCATATATAAAGTCAAGATGTTTTGAAGTTTGATTTCATGAAGTGCTATCTGTAGCTAATGAGCTATACCAATTATAGAAATCAGAAGGCATAATGACCAGAAATAATCCAATTTCAGAAAACTCTGTTTTCAAATTGAAAGATGAAAACGTTTTTCTTTTGTTTTGTTTTTGAACCCCTGACCAATTTTTCAGCTGAAAAAGAACTAGTACTTGAGTCAAATTAAGTGGTAAAAATTCAGGGTAGGAATATCCATGCTATATTGTAATAAGGGCTCCTGCTAGCAAAGTTTATTAAAACGATCATTGATTTCAAATGTTTATCCAATGACTTTCTCCTATTTAGCTGCTTAACTTTTTAGAAACAACCTTGGGAGAGGAACAGAAATTGCCTGAATGTATTTTCCATGTAAGACAAACTATTTTGCTAGATTGTTATGCTTAGGCCATAAAGGTGTCAATTTCAGACAGGCACTCCCAAAATAAACCTAATTACTAAAAAATAATTTTAAATATATTGGTTTTGCCTTCTCCCAATTTCTTAGAGCAAACCAAGTAAGAAGCCACTGAAGCACTTTTCCCTGTCTATCAACAGGAACATCCTGCTGAAGGAGAAAGCAGGGATTACAACCATTAATACAGGGATGCACATCCCTTACAGACCGAGACCAGGACGTCTGCCAAAGGCTTAGATAGATTTGCATACAAGTTTAAATAACAGCTCACTAAAATGACTTCATTTTAATTTTATTAATTTATTTATCCCTAAATTTGGGAACACTAAGTCATATAAATTTAAACAGACTGCTTTAAAGTAGAAATGTGGCTACAGTTTTCAGAAAAATAAAAGCTTACTGTGGAGAAAGAACAGATTTTATTTAAAACATCAGTTAAAACAATGGATGTCCCAGTTCCCCTGAGCTGCATCTAAAAAGTCTTGACACATTAACACTCTGTTAATGCTTCCTTACTCCACCTTACACTCTTTACAAGGGAAGCCTCCTTTCTTCTTTCTTTTCCAAAACTTCTTTCCCCAGCTCTCTACTAAGCCCAGTCTTCCACAACTACCACCTGAAGCACCCTCCGTTCCAATCTTCCATTATCTCCACAAAAGCAAACATATTTCAGTATTGTACAGAACAAAAATTTACTTTCTTCAGTTTCACAGAGATGCAAGTGAGAGACCACCCTTGGTCTTCTCCTAGCAGAAAAGGCTGATCAGTTTGCTCTTCCATTTACTTATCCAATTTGTTGCAGACCTCAAGGTAAGTCTTCAGAGTATTTCATTCTGCACTGACAACAACAGTTCTGTATCATGGATTACAATTTTTATTAAACCAGCTCCCTCCCACCTTAGCTCCCTCACACACCCATAGGGGTCCCCCCTCAGCTCCTAGCGTACTGCACTCTACTGGATTGCCATTCGGTTCATGGACAGAGTCAAAGTGCTGATCTATTTTCTGCCAATCTACAACTTTTTGCCTTCAAAGGGCTAAAAGTTAATGGGATGATAGTTGAGAACAGTTTCTGTCCTCAGGAAGGGTAACAAAAAATCCCGTGAGGCATCCCTGGTTCTACTAGTGCAGGCACAGTACTACAATGATCTTTGCAGTGGAGCTTATTTTGCATAAATTCATAGAAGCTGAAATCCCCCCAAAAACCCAAACTTTAGGTAAAAGAGACTGGAAGGAGAGAAGTAATGAAAGAATAGACAACTGATAAGGGAAGGGACATACCCCAGGAAGGAAAGAAACTGAAGCAGAATGAAAAAGTGAGCAAAGGGTCAAACAGCAACAGAAGACAGGAGGAAAAAAAGTAAAAAAAAAAAAAGCCACACACACAAAAACAAACCACCCAAACATGAGAAGAAGGAAAATTCTTCTGTGAATGAGAAATGAGTAAAGATAACATACTTTACGATGGATAAAGCCAGTCAGGGGGGTGGGGAGCGAGAAGGGGAGATGTGTGAAGAAAATCTTGGATGGCCACATGAACTGCTACAGCAGCAGACTATGTATGTGACACCCTAGTCAGACATCTGTTCTAGTTACCACAGTACCTGGAAGACTGAAGCCCCACACAGATTTTGCATCACAGAGTAAAGCCAGAATTATTTAAATAGGCACCTGCTGCCATCCCAAAGTTCTTGGAATATTGCAAGTAGTTTACTCCTGTGTGCATGCTGTATGTGTCCAAATCCATTGGTAGGGAGGACCCAAAAGAAGGGAGAGGTGCTGTCTGTGCTAGTATCAAAATAAATGCTTATTCCCGATTTATTCTCCATTTACTCTTTAAAAATTATGAGCCACCATGTGCATTCATTAAAAAATGCTTAACAGGCAACTTACTCAAAGCAGCCTAAATTTAGACACAGACACAAAGCCTACAAAGTTTACTCCACTGCAAGAGGCACATACAAGCAGGCATCAAGTTTTATTCCAAGACTCTGTAGATAAAATTAAAATATGGACAGAAAAGCTGTAATAAAGCTTCTGAAAGCACAACCAAAGCTACAATTTTCACTCCTGTATTTTCCAAGGGATCTAGTTAAAGAGTAAAACTAATTCAAACTCTGCAGTCCGCTCCCCCCCCCCCATATGCACACACACCACCTTCTGCTGCTCCTTTTCATCTAGTCTGTGCACTGATCTCTTATTTTTAATTGCTACAGGTATTTCAACAAACATTGGGTAAGCAAAGTCTGTAAAGGGAAAGCTAAGAGTTGGCAGCTGCGTCGGGGAACATTTTTGGACTCCAAGCAACCTACACTGTTTAAAATGACACAGTTTTGTATTCTGCAGGCAAAGAGACGTCTCCAGTACTGCGAGAGGCATGTTCTCTTATTCTCTGAATTTTGCGGAGAGATGTTAGTTCAGCTTTTCAGTGTAAACAGGGTGGGGGCAATGTCTTATTTCTTGGCTAGCAGCAAAATGCAGGATTGCTCTTTTCCCCAGTTCTTTCTCCTTACATCTAATAAAAATGAACAAGCAGATCAGCTTATTGTATTGAAGTCAAATAAGCAAAACGTTAATTTGGAAATCTGCTGGCAGTTTAAAAGTTAATACCTCACTAGTATCAGCAGGAGAGTACATCTCTCAGAGTTAGTGCTTCATGTCATCTGGAAGCACTGCTTTATCATTCACACTTGATTCAGCTTTTGAAGGTCACCTTACAGCTAAAAGAGCAACGTTTAAGCTTTTTAATTATAACCTTAAATCCCAAGACATAATTGCATAGTGAATTAATAAACAGACACTAGAATAAAGTAGTATAACCAGATTACACACAAGTCCCCATACCAACATTTTAAAAATTGGCACGTTTTCCTGCAAAAATACAAGTCATTAGTCAGGTGCAATAAAAACAGCAGGGCTCTGAATTTGATATACAGCTGCGAGATTACTGTTATTTTAAACAGAAAATAAATACAGACAGCCCGAACAGAGCCAAAGCCCCGTGTCTACTCTAGGTAACCAAAGCTCTGCACCACCAAGAACACTAACACTGCAATTCCTCTCTGACACCGCTATCAGTCATCAAACCCAAGTAGATGTGAGGGAAAACAAGGTTATCCACTTTCACTCGTGATGCACAGCACAGGGCTGAGGAGGGGACAAGGCAGGTGACAAGAGGTATTATGAGATGGGAGCAGGAACATGTGCATAAAGAAAGAGCAGGGAGAGATTCTTCAGATGGAGAGTCAAAAGTAAAAAACCTAACAAAGACTAAAAGCAAACTAGATGAAGAATGAATTGTCTTTGCTATAAATCAATCCCATCAAACTACAATTCCTAAACTGGAAACCTACCCAAACATTTTTAGTAGTCTCATCCCATAGTAAATCTGAATTTAAAGGAACAGAAAAATGTTAAAACTCCATTTACAGTAACATTTTTTTTCTCTTCAATAAAAGTATTCAGAGAAGGCACTGTTAATTAAAATAACTCCAACAGGAGTTAAAATAGCAACAGATTTATAGATATGCCGTATCAGGTCACTGAAGTTAGAACTGAACCTTTCTTTTGAAATTTTGCTGAAAATAAAAAGCAAGCCAAACAGGTTACAGCTACATTTTGAATGCAACTGAAATTTGAAAATGCAGATATATAAACTCTTATTTCAAAGGCTTTCAGGGAAACATTGAAGCAGAAAATGAAAGTGAAAGCATAATGAAGCCATCACATTTATTCATTTTTCTGAGAGACAAATAGTGGCTATATAAAGCACCGAGTATATGCCAGACAACTAATATACATCGATAAATTCATGTTCAAAAAAGATGGGTAAGTAAATCTGTACGACCATTTTTACAGAGTGGGGAAAACAGAAGAGGGAATCAAGTAGCTATTCCAGGATTAAAACTCACAGTCTGCCACTTACAGGCGATTACACTTCCCATCGGGAAAATACAAGTTAAGAGATGGATTTATTTTAATTATTATTTTTTTAAACAGGCCACCTGGTGAGATATTCTATGCTTCTACAGTCAATTCTCCATTTACATTCAGAAGACTCATTCTGAGCAGGAGAAGGAAAGATTTAGACCAGACGACCTCCTGAGGTCCCTTTCCAGTTTTAATTACTGTTATGATTAAAAATACTTCTGGGAGTACCTCTCCAGTTTCCTCACAACTTGCCCCAATTTTCCATAGTTTATACAACTGTAAAGGCATAATACATAACACGATACAGTTCTAATACAGAACGCTTTTTATCTTCAGAACAGTGTTAGCTGGCCTCACTGAACCTCTCTCTTCACGTATACAAATAAAAATCAAACGCAAGAGAGAATAAAAAGCATCCGGCACCCTAGTAAACATCAGAAGTTACTAAAAACTAACTCGGAAATAACGCATCAGCGGCCAAACTCATCGCTAACGGCTTGAGCCAATTATTAAGGCGAAAAATGTAGTAAAAAAAAAGAAACAACACAAAAAAACAAAAAACCCCCCACAACACTCGAGAGGAACGCTTGTGTCAAGAGACGCAAGCCTTACCTGGTTCCCGGTTGATTTCTATCTCGAAGAAGCACTGGGGCCGGTCCTGCACCCCCATGGCCGCGGGCAGCCCCCCCCGGCCCCTCGTCCTCGCCACCTGGACACAAAGAAGAGTCGCCCCGGGGAGCAGCCGCGCACCGCCGGATCCCGCCCGAGCTTCCCTCCCTCCTCCCTCCCTCCCCACCGAAGGGTAAAATTACACCGCGGAGCTGCCAGAAACTCCCGGCGACACCTTCCTCCTCCTCCTCCTCCTCCTAACCCCCGGCGGGTGCCTGAGGGGGGGCGGCGGGGCTCGGGGAGGAGGCCGGCGGGGGGGAATCAACCTGGG